AAAACGCATTCCAGTCAATTTAAATTTGTTTTGAAATACAGCAAAGTATTTTGTTTAATGGAAATATTGAATTTAATCTATTGGCTTCAAATTAAAACTAAAATAAAAGTTTCAAGAAAGATTTTTCATTTTTAAAAAATTAATTTTATACCTTAGGTATCACTTTTCTTTGGTTTTTTTTATTATATATATATATATATATATATATATATATTTAATAATAAATATACATTTTTCCTCACCAGTAGCACAACTCTTAAGTTTCATGAAAAATGTAATCCTCATGTGCTGATTAAAAACTGATTGTTGCATAATTTAAATATTGATATTTAGATCATACTGTAATGATAGTGGATTAGTTCATTTATTTACAGGAGAAGGAGGTAATAGAACTATATATATATGTGTTTGTATACACACACTTTTACATACCTCCACATATATACATACATACATACATACATACATACAAATATAATTTAAGAACTATTATCACCAGAACTCAATGTACAATATTATATATTCATTTATTTATATATATATATATATATATATATATATATAATATGGAGAAACTTCTCACTTAATTGATTGATGGTATTGCAGTGGCGTTGGGAGCACATTGTCATAATGCCTTCACTCTTCAGGGCTGTTTGCTTCACTGCTGCTACTGCTCAATTCTTGAATTTGATATCTTTTTGTAGGTGTTTGATTTTTCACTTAATGGGTGTTGTGTTATCTGCTTTTATCTTTAGGGTTTTTGTTGTTTCTTAAGTGTTATAAAGTTTCTTAGTGATTGTTTGCTTTGTATTATACAGACCCCTTTTTGACCATACTCACTTAATTGCTTTATGTAGGATTGGTCTCTTTTTACTGTACTCAGCTGACTTCTTTTTACCATATCAATGTATATGTCTGCTTGATTTTTTTTTATGTCATAGTTAGGTGCTTGTGTGTGTGTGTCTGTGTATGTATGCTTAGTTGTTTTTGTGTGTGTGCATCCTTTGGTGTTTGCACTTGTGTGTGTACACTGTTTTTTTTTTTAGATATTAGCAAATATTATCAGCAAAATATATAGGTGGTATCGAATTCTTTCTGATGCAATCACAGTTCAGATGTGCTGGTCATGTCATCAGAATGAGTGATTATTGGATGCCAAAAATCCTCATGTATAGCTAACTTTTTCATGGTATGCATAATGTGCTTCAAGGACAAACTTGAATACAATTTAATTGCTGCAAACATCCCTATAGAGGAATTCAAACTTGCTGTTGAAAACTGAGCAAACTGGAGAAACACCTGCTACCAAGGTATAACTAACTTTGAAAAGAATCACCTCAACCATCTGAGAGTATTAAGAATCAACACTAAATCTCATGACAATACATCAGCTGATATGACAGTCACCCCTTCAGCATGTGCCTCGTGCAGGATTGTTGTCTCATATGAAACATAAACATAAAAACTGAACTGAAAGACATTCATACATCGAAAATGACGGAGAGTCCATCATCGTATATATATATATATATATATATATATATATATATATATATATATATATAATCCATTTAATGAAACACTGTCACTGCCAAGTGTTGACCTTAATGTTTACTGATATATATATATATATATATATATATATATATATATATATATATATATATATATAATGTGCGTGTTATTTATTTCAACCACTGGCCTCAATATTCAAGAAAACTTATTAAAGAAAATATATTCAGGACTGTAGTCAAAATAGAATACTGTTCAAAATAGATGAACCGTCTTCTCAAAATATCCACTAAAGTAAGATTTAAAGTAATGTTGATTCATAAATAAAAATCCATTATTTCCTCATATATATATATATATATATATATATATATATATATATATATATATATATATATATATATATGTACGCTGTAGATAAACTGTCCAAATTTAATATTTTTATTCTGTACATTTTCAAATTTGACGCTGAACTGAGAATTTAGTTTTATTGTTATACATATAAGATGTTTTATAAAAATAAAATATTTGTCCCTGCAAGTATATAATATTTATTATTAAAATAACCCCAGCATACCATGAGAAAATTTGATCAAGAAATCTTTAAAAATATCCATCAAGATCATTTTAGCAGCTTAAGAAGCAGATACTGATTGGAATCCCTTGATAGATTCTCTAGAATTTAAAAAGCCAGCAGCCTATTGGTTGTGAAGTAAGGTTTCCAAGAGCATTTTCAAGAAGGTCATAGATTTGCCAAAGTGACAGAGATAGGGAATTTTTTGCTAAATCATATCTCGCTTACTCTTCTGAACAGTTAAAGGAAACTTGAACAATTCAGTGTAGACCTTTCTGAAGAATCCATCCACAAATACCTGGAATTTTTATTATATATAATAAAGCATGTTCATTATGAATGAGAAGCTGATAAGAAGCAAATGAATAAGGAAAAGGAAAGAAATACATGAGATCACTGCTTGCATAGCAATAATTATTGCTTATATGAATAAGACCAACTTTAACCACCATATAACTGGGGATAGAGGCATAACAGTTGTGGCAGGATCAAAAAGAGCAACTATACACCTAATAGGTGTTATGCATAATCTTGGATTGATACATCAAGAAAAGTCAATACAGAATATGAACCATACATACAGTTTGAGTCATGTTGGGAGTGGGTAAGAATTTAAAAGAATGTAACCTCATTGAATGATAAACAAAACCTCTACAGACATAGTTAGAATAAATTGTTAGCATAGGGCCCTACTCATCCTAATTGTGTCAGAAAAAGTGAGTTAACCAGTTGAAAAGATATGTAAGACGATAAAAATAATAAATTATAAACCAATGCTCATTTGTACTAATCATTCTTACACTAATTTAAGACATTTACTGAGCTTAACTTGCATTTTTAGGAATGCTGCATTTCAAATTTAAATATACATATATTATGTAAGTAATGTTATGTATAGAATGATTGCAGAGACCAAATGTGCCTAGTTTCAGTTAAGAAACCCTTTGCGATTTGCAGCAACTCAATGTGGCATTATTTCCACAGTTGGTCAGAAGATTGAGAGGGAGTTGTTGAACCATGCCATATTGACAGCTGTCCACAGCTTCCTGATATTTATAAATGCATATAAATAGAGCCCTCCACCACATTACATATATTCTTGATTGGATTCATGTTAGGTGAACTTGGTGACCACACCTTTTATCAGGAGTCTCTAGAATACTCCTGAAACCAATTCTGGGAATCTTAGGTGCATTGTCCTGTTGAAATAACTCATTGTTGGGGTACATCATGTCCATGAAAGTTTGCAAAGAACCAGTGGAATGTGTGATTGGTACAATTGATAATGACTTGGAATATGAAATGGGAGAGCAGAGTTTGAATTCCAGTTGAGTTTGTTACATTTACTGACAATAAAATACCCTTAGGAAAGGGTATGAATCCATCACCCCCCTCCCAGTATCTGAAAAAATCATTGATATTCTCAAAAAAGTTATTAATGCAATATTCACTTGCAAAAAAGTATTATTCTTGCAATCCAAAATATGATTTGGCTTTAAATAACTCACAGTTGATAAGAAGCAAATCATTGTGTCAATCATAAAGCAAAGCAACATAGTGGTCACCAGTCAGTGACATGTTTAGGCAGACCAGTTGATCACAGCCCTGTTATGAAAACACACCTGACACCACTATGGAATTACCATATGCTTGAACAGACATTTTAGACATCAGGGGCTCATCAAATGAATTTCAAACTGAACCCTTTATTTAATCTATGGGTGTAGATTGATCTCGTTCCAGTGCCATGCCCATGGGGACACCTTGTCTTGTTCTTATTTAGTACTGCTTATACTAGAAATTCAGGCAGAAATATTTGTTTGTCATCTAATTTTGTTTCAGTTGAAGACAATACTACATATAACTGCAGGTGGATATTCATTGCATTTCTGTATATTGTGTGAATGACTCTCCTTGCTGAAGTGTCAGTTTCAAAAAGGTATTTTGAAGGGAATGGTAGAAACGCTTTTTCAGAGTAAGCCTAAGATATTCTGCTATTACTTTTATCTTTTATGTAATCTGAATTTGTTGGTTTCTCATATCATTTATTAATGTTGTTTGATTGGAGGCTTTCCATAGTTTCTTCATTGTATTACTAAATAATAAGTTGACAGGGAGCCTCAACTCTTTGGCTGTCATTTTTGTCTCACTTTCCGAGAATAATCTCATAAATATTTACTTACTATATATGCACACAGTGTCATGGGAATTTCAATGTTCATCATTCAGTCAGTTCCTATTTTCTGACCAAAAGTGTGCAATTGGTTGTGTCAAGTTGAATATGCTTTGATTTGGGAGTGCTGTTGAAATTTGTCTAGTTCAGTAGTGTTGTGGGTGGTATGTTGGCCTGCAAACAGATATTGAATGATGGAAGAAACAACACACAGTTATACTTGAAGAAATCAATGCATCATTTACCATATTTACATGTAGACTATTTTCCTCATCTTTTTGACCATTGTTCTTTTTAGCCTTTATCAGGTTCTTGCCAATCCAGGTAACCTTCAGTCAAAATTCCTTAAAGGCTACAAAGATCAACAAACACCTGACAGAAATCAAGACATTATTCAGTCAGCAAGCAAAACATAAATATCTACAGTATGTAGAATATTCTTCCTTTGCATGTGCAATGTTTGATGCATGGTTGGGTGATCATGTCTCTTTTTGATTCATGATTGACTTGCAGTAGGCTGCTGTTACTTTCTGCAGTAGACTGGTTGCCAACTAAGGCTACTGGACCCAGTCTGTCCTGCTATTTAAGACATAACTTGGGTGGAGAGAAGAGATGGCTTCATACCTTTCCCAAGGATATTTACGCATAAGTTAATGTAACAAATTGGACTGAAATTTGAACTTGGCTTTCTGATTTCTTAATCCAAACTCTTATCTTTTACACCAGCCACACATCCAATCTTACAGAACTTGATATTCCCAAGTGGTCACCCATCTAGGTACTGACCAGGTTCAATGTTGCTTAACTTTGGTGATCAGATCAGAACCAGTGTTTCAACATGGTATGGCCATAAGATGATGAATTTACTAATCAAATAAGAACAAAAACAATTGAGCGCATGTAAACACAACCCCCAAAAGTTGGAATATTAGTGTGACATAATCCCAACATCATATGTGATTAAACAGGTAGCTTGAAATAGTATTTGGTGACCTCAGTCATTGTTTCATCATGAACTAAGGTTGTGTCACTACGTTACTCTCCACAGCTGTCTTCAGACCAATACACTCATCGCACTGTCTCTGTCTGTTACTGAAAATCAAATAGCTGTCTTTTCACTAGGAGAAAGTTTTGCAGTTTTAAATAGCACAATGCATATGCTCTGTATTGGCTGCTTTTATTGTCCCCAGTAGAAAAATTTTGCTGACTATTTCCTGTGATTGTGTGGGTGAGAGTGAAAGAGATTTCCCAATTCTAGCAGTTACAAACCCATGTGAAAATTCTCACTGAAAATTTTGAAATGGTGAAACTTCTTTTTTACCAGGAAATCTTGCCTTCTCAGCAATTGCTGATATATCAATTCACAGGCTAATAAAAAGGTACCAATACATTCTTTCTCCTTTTCCTTTTGGTGGGACTTGTGACCATCAACTGACCATATTAAATATATCCTATTTCAGAAATACAATACATTTATAACAATCTGTGTCACTTGCTTTTTTGAAATTTTTTTTTTTTTTTTGCTAATCTTTAACTTTAACCTATTTGCATCTATTTTTACACACATTCACCATTACACTAAATTCACCATATTCATTAGAGGGTCCCTGCTTCATTGAGTGAGTCAGAGGAGGAGAGCTCCAAGATTTCAAAAGAATCAGTTATAGCATATAAGGTTTTCTCAGAAAAAGGTTTGACATTCCAAACTGTAACAAACTCTGAGAAAAACTAGGGTCTCCATCAACTGAAATGTTATTTTTTTTTAAAAAAAAAGGGGGTGGGTGGCTATATCATTTTTATTTTATTTTGGATTGTCAAGGAAATTAGTCATAATGAATTAACAGAGAATAATTACAAAACATTTAAAAAATTCACATATGAAATATAGCTATAAACATTCATGTGTTTAATATTATTTACAGTCAGACTAATCTTTGTTGTTATCTCCACAATATTTTGTAACCATTGTGCTTTACTAAAATCTAAAAATGTTATTTGCATTTTCATTATATTCTCTTTCTTAATTCAAAATATACAAAAATATTTTATTGATGGCATTTCATTATGAAAATAGTTTCAATTCTCACAGCTGCTGATTGGGTACTTGGGAATCCCCTGAGGTGTGCAGACCGTACTTTGAGAAATGCTCTTTTCATAAAATATTTATGCATCTCAGAACATTTAATGTAGGTACATTAAACAATGAGTCGTTCATCTCTATAAAGAATAGAAAAATATCTTTGATGGATGTTAAGAGTAAAATAAAGACCTACTTGGTAACTGAGGTAGTTGCATATTCCCTTTTGGTGCTAGTTTTCAAGCTCATGTAAATGCTAGGTTTTCAAGTCATGTTTGGAGGATTGATGCAATACAATCTTCTTACCCTATATTTGGCCTTGTATCATATAAAACTCAGTAAATATCAACACCAAATATGGGATCAGTTTATCATCCTTCTTCCTAGAGTGACCATTTGAATATCATACCGCCTCCAACAAAAACTTTAGGCAGTTAAAAATATTCCACTAAAATTAGAGAAAGGTTTTAATATATTGACAAAATTATGTTTTAAATCTGTTATCAATAAATTTCTTTTGACTTTTACAAGCACACTTCTCATGATGTCTGCCATAGTGGATCATCTCATATGTCATATTTTAAAAGGTTGTTTTGTTGTAATAAGCAAAAAACAGGTAATTTTTTCCTCTACTAGTAGAAGACTGTCAGCTATGGGTTAATCATCCATTAGTTTGAGCAACTGAACATCCTCCACACCTAAACAGTCTAGTGATGGATGATCTTAAGATAATCTGAAAGCACTTTAAAGTTCCAATCAATATATTAGATCAAAACCTGAAAGTGTAAACACACAAACTTAGAGCTTTATATATTAAAGTTATATATTTCCCTACTTTAAATCCTGAAAATTAATTACATATATGTAAAGCTGTGTATGTCTGTGTATGCAGAAATTACATATAACTTTGATATAAATTTCATCCACATTTGATTGCAATTCATATATATATATATATATATATATATATATATATATATATATATATGATAAAATATACTTTTAAAGTAAGCTATATTTATGGGTTAAATGCTCAATAACAGGTATAGAGCAAATGAAAATATAAAAGTTGACATTGATGTCAACACCCAGAGGCGAGAATATGTTTCATGCTAAATGCACTTGTCAGGCAATCTGTATTTGGATCCAGAATTATCCCCATTCAATAGCCCCTGAAATAATTCAAAACCTTTACTGCCCACAAAAATAACCATTACAATAATACAATAGATTATCCACTGTGCATCGCTGACCTATATGTAGAAATAGTTGAGCAAGAACACAACACACATGAATTGATGATTGTGTTTAGCATGAAACAGACTGTCACTTTTGCATGTTGCCTTCAATGTCCACTTATATAGCAGTAAATTGCTGATACCTACTGAAGAGTGAACAGACATATCTGCCTATGAAACTCTGGAGTTGGGATGCTGAAGGTAACATCAATCAGCTAAGTGACAAACTTTTAGTTATCTTAATCCTACATATATATATATATATATATACAGTAGTGGCCATAATATAAGGAACGGAAACAACAAAGACATAAATATGTGTATTACTTAAAAAGTAATGCATGATTAGTAATGAAATTTTTACCAAATAAAGATTAGGGTGTAATGCATAAATATTATACAAAGTTACAAAAATTTACATAATAGTTTTTTTTTTTTTTTAAATAAAGATTAAATGGAACAAAGGAAATAAGCTACTGGATAAAAGTTAAGAGACGATCTTGTTAATACTTGATTGTGAACAAAATATCAACAAAATTTAATATTTTGGAGGTCTGCCGGTTTTTGGTTTTGCATCTAATGTTTTATCGGTTTTATACCTGCTGATTACACGATGAATGACACTTTTAGACCTATGAACAATATCAGAAATTTCTGAAATTGACTTTTTTTCTTGATAGTTAGCAATAATGAGTTTTTTTTTTCTTCAAAAGAGAGTGTTTTGCGTGTAGAATTTGCCATATTGTTTAAAAATAAAGTCCTAATGATAAATGAACTTTTACTTATTGTGGAAAAGCTTCGAGTTTTTTAACAATGTATATTAAAAGTTTATGCAAATTATTAACATTGTTCCTTAACTTTTGTCCAGTATCTTATTTCCTTTGTTCCATTTAATCTTTATTTAAAAAAAAACTATTATATAAATTTTTGTAACTTTGTATAATATTTATGCATTACACCCTAATCTTTATTCGGTAAAAATTTCATTGCTAATCATGCATTACTTTTTAAGTAATACACATATTTATTATTATATGTTTCATGTCTGTTTCACATATTTTATATTCTTCACTTAGTGATCACTGTTCAAGCTGAAGCAAAAGCCAGGATTTCAAGTCCTTCCCCAATTTGAAGAGTGATGCAATATCTTCCTGTTTCTCTTTCCTCATGGACTTGTCAAAGCTTATATCAGAATTTTTATGATGAGAAATTACCATTATTATATACCTTACTATATGGACCAGCATGCTCATCTTGGTTGTTATACTCACAGTGTTTCAGCTGTTTTTTTCTCTGGACTTCTTCAGGTGTCTTTTGCATTTGGTAACCTTCTCAGAATTTTGAATCAACCCTTTATTCAATCTATGGACTCAAATCGCTCTCTTTTTGCTTTCCATGCTTTGGAGACTTTTCATATCAATTAATTCTCACTACACTATTTACATTGTTTTGAGTATTGTCCTCATCTTTGTTGCCATATTTATCACGTTTCAGCTGTTGTATGTGCCAACATTCTTCAGGTGGCTGGAATATCGAACAGAAACCTTTATTTTGCTTGCTGGAGTAGACTTAATCCACTGTGCCATGTGTCCTTGAGGACACATGGCACAGTGGATAAAGGTGTTAGTTAGATCCAGTGACAGGACCCAAAGAGGTGTGAGTTCAATACCTGGTTAAGGTGGTGGAGAACTTGAAGAGGGGAATTAACAGGCGATAACTGATAAGTGACATCCATTAGACATGGCACATGGAACTAGAACAGTCTACCACAGTGTGTGAAATAAAGAGTTCACTTCAACATTCCAAACACCTAAAGAAAGCCAGAGTGTACGACGACTGAAACATGATAAATATGGCAACAAAGATGAGGACGATAGTCCAAACAATGTAAATAGTGTACATAATACCTCATCTCAGAAACATACATAATTCCCACTAGTTAAGTTGCTTTTGTGTCACATCTATTTCTTTCACTAAACCAGAGTATATGACTTTTCTGCATATGATCTAGGGTTGAGGTTCTCAACTGGGGTTCATATGGGCCCTTGGGGATCCATGTGACATTACTGGGGACCACAGAGAAAAGATAGAAGAAGCATAATATATGGAAAACAAATAACAATGTTAAGAAATATTCACTATTTTGGGAAAAAAAGCACAGCTCTATGTCATTGGTTTTTCATCATCTTACCTTATTGAATCAGGTTTTATTAATGTGTCTCACTTAATATCAGACTCAACATTGTGAAGTGGGGTGATCTCCAACTATTATTGACATCAATTGAGCAGAATAAAAAAAAAAACTTGCAGAGCAACATGATCTTATTGTAGAAATCTGCATTTTAATTTAAAATGGTTTGTTATGAGTTATTTTACTAGTGTACATAAATGTTTCAAAGAATTTAGTTGTTAAATACAAGTTTATTTTCATTAAACTATTTTTATTTCAAAATAAAGCATACACATTTACTATTTCTATAATACAATTCCTAAACTTATCTATTAGTAAAAAAATAAAATAAGTTTTTTTTTTTATC